GAATTACGTACAAATGGTATTCAAAAAACTTCTGTTTATTCTTCGTCGGCTAATAATATAATTAATGCTACTAAAGGACAATCAGCTACACGTCGATCACATTTATTTACAAATAATCGTGTTCAACCAACTACTGAACGTAATTTTGGAGCACATTTACCATCAATTCGAGATGCAGCTGGTCCTGTTGAACGACAAAATCAATTTTATGATGGTCTACAAACAACTCCTCGTTCTAAAACTCCTTTAACAAATACTAGTCCAAAAAGTCTTGGTCGTCCTGCATCTGGATCAATGTCATCAATATTTAATACACTTGCAAAACGATCAACAGAAAATTTTATGACTTCAAATGGTGACATTGATGAATTAATATTACCATCTAGTCATCAATCACGACGACCAACCAATGAAAGTAATAAATATGGAACTGGTAATAATCAAACGACAACTATAAAAGAAACAATACCATCTCAAAAACATTCAATTGATAATGGAGGTGATAATCGATATTCAATAAATCCATATGATAACAATCAACAACAACAACAGCAGCAGCATGGTTCAATATTATCAAATAGAATTCGATCAGCAGTACCAAATGTACACGTTGAAGTTCCTTATGTCAATGAAACAATCACAAAAGAACGAACAAATACTGGTTAATCAATTGTTTTATATTTTATAACATATTTATTAAATATTTTTATGTTTTTGTTTTCTTGTTTTAAGGTCAACTTTATCAACGACGTACAAATAATAATATTAAAGCACCAATTAAACAAAAAATAGATAAATTTCGTCGTCGTTCAGAAGAAGTAACACATGCTACGAATGGAAATATATTAACAGTAACAGCAAATGTCGGTTTATCTGCTACAACACCAACATTAGCTAGTCTAACATCAACTCATTTAAAACCACCACCACCATCTCCAATACCGGTTCGTCGTGTTACGTCAGATGGTGAAATTCAAAATCGTATAGATGTTCTTCGTTTATCTATGAATTCAAATCTTGTTCAAATTGATCAACAACAACGACAACAACAACAACAACAACCACAACATCAAAATTCTCGTAATCGTCTTAAATCTCCATATTTATATTCTACACATCAACAACTAGCTCCACCACCAACTCCACAAGTAATTCTTCGTCGTAGTCAATTAAATTCTAATGATACAAATATTCAACATCGTCAAAATAATGCTATTAATTATCGTCGATTACAACAATCATCTGTAAAACAATCAACAAATACTAATCAAGCTAGTCTTTATTTAGCATTTATAGCATCACGTCGTTTATCATCATTAGAAGATGCACAATTTGAACATGATATAGATCATACAAAATTATTAAGTATTTTTTCTTGGCTTAAAAATGTTGAAGAACATCGTCATCAACAATTAAATCATGATAAATTAATAATTGAACAAAATCAACGTATGTTAAATCAAGAAGATGATTTATCATTATATTCTGAAATACAATATGCTGTTGATGATATACCAGCAAATACAAGTGGAAAACCATGTGAAAAAATTGCTACTATGCAATTTGAAGATTAAATAATATAGACTATATATATATATATAAATACAGTAACAGTGAATTTTTGGTATTTTTCTTTCTTTTTTTTTATTAATTATTTTGCTTTTTCCACTTTGTTGAAAAGGGTTTTTCCATTATAAAAAAAGAACAGTTTTTCTTTTCATAAATATTTTCATAGAATATATAAAAA